GGATGTACTTTGGTCCCGAGCAGTAAACTTTTGACTCATAATCAATCGAGTCGATGACCGGCGCCCGCCTGCGCACAAACGACTTTTTGCCACCCCCCTGATTTGAACGTTCCCGCGTGTGCGCAGGTGGCAACAAAGACGTTACCTTTCTACAAAGACTACTTCAGTGTTCCTTATCCGTTGCCGAAGATTGATCTCATCGCCATTGCCGACTTTGCTGCCGGTGAGTACATTATTGCGCAAGCATGCACGCAAGACTTGGTGAGAAATGAGATTTCAAACCCCCCCCGCCCCCCCCCCCCTTTCCCTGCCTTCAGGTGCCATGGAAAACTGGGGCCTTGTTACTTACAGGTATGTCACCTTTGCTGCTGGCGCATCGCATTGTTTGGATCCAAAAAAAATGGCATCCCGGTCCTACAGAAACACAACCAAATGTGATCTCGGTCGAGGGACATGCCGCTGCCATTTTGCATTGAGATCTGAATCAGAATTGCGGAGGACTTGCAGTGATCATTTTTACAGTTTTGAGTCCCAGGGACAGAAAATGATGATTCCCATGATGCATTTCGAGAGTCCCAAATTTCGAATTTGAAATGGTCTACTTCTTCAATTGCATACGATTATCACACACACACACACAACAACAATATACGTTGATAACAGGGTTATTTCTGATCAACAAATGCTGCAAAAATTATCAATAATTCAGGCATACAAGATTATTATCGCAAAAAAAAAAAATAAAATAAAAAACTATCTTTAACTTTAGCCGCTTCCTCCGCGATATCTCTGCAATAAACTTTCGCGGCACTTGTTCGCAACACTCGTTTTTACGACTTGGCAATCGTCGCCAATCTCGAACGGAAATCTCGTCACGCCAGATGGCTAAACGCGAGATCAAAACAACAATGGCGGCGATTGTCAAACTGCGATCGTTAGTGGGGAAAAAAAGATTTACCTTTTTTTTTTTTTTGCCTGAGTAATTTCCTTGCATCCACATTATGGCTCTAAACGGCGCCTTCCTTCCAAAAAGAAAAAAAAATCCGAACGGGACGGATCGGAGCCGAGAGAGAGCTCAAGCGAGAGCGCGCGTGCTTGTGTGTTTTTGTGCAGGGAGACGGCGCTGCTCATTGACCCCAAGAACTCCTGCGCGTCTTCCCGGCAGTGGGTGGCGCTGGTGGTGGGTCACGAACTGGCCCACCAGTGGTTTGGAAACTTGGTCACCATGGTAACCGAGCCCCTCTCCGCCCAGATGAAGGAAAAAAAAATTTGCCGGAAATGGCCTCCTCAACCCTGTGCGCGTGTGCCTTTGCCTCTAGGAGTGGTGGACCCACCTGTGGCTCAATGAGGGCTTTGCGTCATGGATCGAGTACCTGTGCGTGGACCACTGCTTCCCGGAGTACGACATCTGGACGCAGTTTGTGTCGGCCGACTACACGCGGGCTCTGGACCTGGACGCGCTGGACAGCAGCCATCCCATCGAGGTGGGGCGGCGGCGCTCCGGCCGCCGGGCGCCGCGCCGTCGCACGGCTGCGGTGACACAGCCCCCGCTTCTCCTCTTCTGCCTCCCCC